GGCCATGAAAAATTTCGATACAGTTCGGTTAGAAAGCGCTACCGGAAAACCCATCTAATTCACTGGGCAAGGACTTTTCATAGGAGTTTTAGTAATCATTCGAAAGCAGACACTTGAAGCTACAGCCGCAAGTCGCCTATTTCTTAAAACACTCCTTTATAACGTCGTAGCACCCAGATCAAAAATTATGTTTCACACTGCCTTGCGCCTTCACTTTATCACGCGTATAATTCGCAGCAAACAAAAAGCTTATCAGTGTGTAAAAAAATTTTCGTACTATCTTAATCAATCGTTTTATCTCAAGTCTCTTCCAGAGTGGAGAAGAAATTTTTGATTGAATAAAATATACCGATCGACTCATTTGCCACGCCCCTCGCCACGTCCCTGCTACGACCTCCTCATTTCCTGATAGCATTTGAAGAACCCTTACCGAAAATGTAAAACTCGATCTTATTCGCCCTGCTAATCATATTTCCAGGAATCAAGCAAATCGGCAGAATCAAGAAACATTACGCTATCGGATTATAACCAATAATCTAAAGGAAGAGCTCCGCCCGGCGAAATTTTAAGCTCAGATAAAAAGCCCAATGAGATAAAAGATCAAAAAGGTATTTTTTAGAACCAAACTTATTTCTGAGTTCTCCGAAGCTTGCGCTATAAAATGAATACTGAAGCACTAAGTGAGGAGCTTTGTTCAGAGAAATATAAGCGAAATAGGTTAGAAAGGCACGCCCTAGTGTGAAATATAAAATTATCTTGGATTTCACAACGCAATGAATGGAAGGGCATTGAAAAAACCCGTGATATGGAGCTGTGGCCAGAGACTTGAGCTTTCAAACGACCACTAATACTCCAGTGCTATAATAATATAATAATATGTCCCGTTTCAGTGCACATCATTCCACCAAAAATCAAATTTTTATCCACAGGTCACAGTTTATAATAATAAAAGGTAAAGGATAGAGCTCTCGGCATTGATCAATCTCTGAGGGATGCGCCATGCATTCGTCTTTAATTTTCAACCTCAGTTAAGGTGATTGAATGCATATCTGCCTTTTACAATGACTCGCGTTGGCCTACCGTTGTACCGATTCAGTGCTACTTATCCTCCCAGACAAGTAGGAGACAAGTCTGGTACCACTTTACCGACCTCGGCGGAATGGATGGCTTGGTGAGCCATGAGCGGAGATCGAAGCTCTGACTTCGTGTGCCAAGCAGAGCACCTCTAGCCACTGCGCCACATGCGCTCTATTGATGATAGAATAATGTTGATGATAAAAAGGCAACAACTTTTATTCTAATTCCGGTAAGAAACAATTTTTTAATCAATGCAATATTTGCTGATGCATACTGGTAAAGGTTATGATATATATGAGCAATAAAATGTTTTCTCTAATTTGATACAAACCTTTTACTCTAACAGCACGAGCTGATGTTTCGTGGAGCCCACAAAGTATTTCTTCATTGATGTCTCTACTTTTCGAACAGCAAAACGATCGAACGAGTGATTTGTGAGCAGCAGACTAGGATTCTTCTGAAGTTGCAAGCCGGTATGTGTTTCTCCTGACAATTGATGCCAGAATGCCACCCTTTCCGTACTAGGTAATAACCTAGCATCAAATGTCAAGAGAAGCATATAACGGCATACAACCCTAGGAGTTTGGGTTTTCGCTGCGACTTTTGTCGAATTTTGCACTCCAAGACGTAGTGAGAAAACGAGCGTTCTCTTTACGAGCACGTTCCGATCATCTCGAAGGTGCACTATTGAGCTGAGGATTCGTTCTCATTAAAAGATTTGATGGAAGCAAGTTTACAACAGAGTGAATTACAACGTTGGACGACACTCGATACGTCTGAGACTGAGCTAGAATCTGATCGAAAATGTTCTCAAGAGATGGTGAGGTAGCCAGAAATACATTAAGCGAAAAATGGTATTTTGTTCGCAGTTTTATAGCTTAATATTCGCAACCATTACGCTTGCATTGAAAATAGTCTAGACTGGATTTCACTTTATTAAAAATTCGTTTTTGAATAGAGCTAAAATTTGGAAAACGAAAGATAAAAGTCTCGATACGGTGAATTCAGAGAGAACATGCCATGCATTCGACTTTGTAAGCGCATTTTCTTATGAACTTTTGGGTATACAACCTGCCTGCATTTGTTTTAAAGTGGAGCTGCGTGGGGACAAATTCGCTGGCTACTGGTGCACGCATGGTGCGCAGGAAAAAATGCTAGTGAAGAGGCGCGCAAGATTGATGGGATTTGAGGCGATGATAGGGTTGCAGAAAGGACAGCTGGAAAGTGGTACGCAGAGTTCAAAGCTGCAAAGGACAGTTTAGAGAACCAGTCGCGCTCGAGCGCCCAATCTTGCGCTCAGCAACATCAGCATTCTCTCCTAAGCTTCATGTGCGCATGAGTATCATGTGCAAGAGTAGCACGGATACGAAATTTGCTACTTTCCATTTTTTTGGCCAGTTTGAGCAGCTATCAATTAGTGCTTGGCCTCACGTATCGAATTCACACACGATTTCCACTACTCTCTCTCGCTCTCTCTCTAACGGCCGGTTTGATCAACTCACAAGCAGAGTGGTTTAATATGTTCTCTCCTCTTGGATGTAGTATGATGTAGCGGTTTTGTTGCTTCATATCCCCTTACGCTCGGCAGCATAATCGTTATCCACAGTGGCGCGCAATTTTCGTTCTTCAACAACAATTTTTCTTTTCTTTGGAAGTTTTTTGAATCAGCCAAATTAAACATGAATTTCTTTGTAACTTTGCATACTTTTTATGCATATATAACTTCTGTGTGCAAAGGAAAATGCGAATACTCAATGTGACTTCACTTTCGCTCTCACAGTGCGCAAAAAAATCCTTTCTGAAACCAGCTCCAGCTTCAAATTTGCCGAGATTTGCATTATCGAATGAGCTCAATTTAGTCCAATAAAAGTGATCTACAGACTTCGACCGGGCAAAATTCAAATCGAAGGCGCCAAGGCCGAGCGGTTGTAATGCTCGTCACAGCGCCCGTAGAGCCGAGTTCCACCCTCCAAAACCCTCTCTCGGTCAAAAATGACGTCCTATGAGAAGCAACATCATGGCTATCACCGAGAATGCAAAGGGACGTGGTCGATCAGTATTTCAAACATCTAAATAGGAGACGAAAAAACGACTCGAAAGCTAGAACTACGAAGATCCGAACAATGAAAACAAACGCTCTAAAAACGGATCAAGCATGTGATGCTGATGAGGCTTGATATGAAAGTCGAAATGTACGTCTAACATTAGAATTCCATGCCAGACCTCATGAAAGACTCAAAATATGTTATCACATTTATTCGATATAGTGTTTGCTTCTGAGAACAAAGCAGTTAATAGTAACCTGCGGAATTTCAATATGCTCCATCTCTTCATTTAAGCTCACACGACAAGTACAGGCTGAAAAAGGTACACAAAGATATGGATACTCCAATCGTGCGTTGCAAGTGATGACCGACTTGACAAACGATGAAGATTAATAGTAGGTTGAGGGATAAAAATCAAATTTTATGTTTGTTTCAAACAATATCGATTATTGTAACTTCATGAGATTAACTCAGAAATATTTCTGTAAGAAACCTCCCCGATGAAAATAGGTTTAGATGGTCAATGACGATCGGAGCAAACGTTGGATTTCAAAAGATCAAGCCCCATCATTAGTTGCACGTTCAGATCTCTTTAGCAGAAAGGTCGTGATCTGCCTTTGGTGGGATTTTGAAGGTGTCGTGCATATCGAACTTGTTGCGAAAAGTTGCGTCATTAATGTCGAACTGTACTGCGAGCACCTGGACCAAGTCTACGATGCATTGAAGGTAGAGTACCTATACTGATTTGTGGAAAGCGCACGCGGTTTCAACGAGACAAATCCAAATCTCACCCCGCAAGGAGGCTGAGAAAAAGTTTGATGAACGAAAGGGAATTGAGGTCTTGTTGCACCCATCCTACAATCCAATTGCGACACCGTACAACTATGATCTCTTGTGCTCAATGACACATATCCTCCATGGACACCGATTCGACACATTTGCTGGAGCTGAAGAGGCATGTCAGGAGTCTTTTGATTCAAAACTCAAGAAACGATATTTCGAGCAATTCCGTAAGCTTACAAATCGTTGGCAGAAAATCATGGTTAATGATAATCTTCCTTTAAATCCTCTTTTGAATCACTCTCATCCATCAAACTTTTCCTTAGTCTATATGCGGCTTGAAGTTCGGAACTGTCTTGCTGAAATGGCGTGCGCTTTCTAGGGTACTTTTCCTATAAGGCATCGTAGATTTAGTGGTGATCGTAGTAAAGTCCAACATCATGGGCGCGACCTTTCGGAACAAGTTTAATATGCAGAACACCTTCAAAATTCTATCAAATGCAGATCACGACCTTTTGGCTAGAAGGATTTCGACGCGCAACTGATGGTGGAGCTTGATCTTTTGAAACCCAACGGTTCCTCCGATCGAGATTGACCAGGTAGACCTACTCAACATCTGTGGAGGTTTTTTATAGAAATATTTCTGAGATATTCTCATATGACTGCATCTACCAATGCTGTGTCCAATAAATATAAAATTTGAATTTTTGGCGAGTGTTAAAGGATTTTTTCTCAGCCTAATATCAATTTTCATCGTCAGTAAAATCTTTCGGCCACCAGTTACAGCGCACGATTGGAGTATCCATATCTTTGTGTGTCTGTTTTAGCCTCTACTTGTTGTGTGACCATGAGTGAACAGGTGGAGCTTGTTGATATTCCGCAGATTACTGTTCAACAGCTTTGTTCTCAAAAGTTAAACAAGAAATTGAAACACTGCGAAAAAAGTAGTAAAAATTAAATTTCAAGTAATAGATAATAGAATAGTTGTCAGCTCAACTGAGTTTATAAAGCGAAATCGCAAATCCGACCAAACCTGTTGAAGGATGGTGGCTGACGGCTAACATAGAAATGTTGAAAAATGATCGATAGTGCAAACGCGTCTCTGTGGTGTAGTGGTAGAGCACATGTTCGCGGATAGATAAAACTCGGGTTTGATTCCTGCCTGAGGCGTGTTTTCGCTCACCACTCAATTCTCTCAAGTATTACGAAAAAAAATATAACACTGCGAAAAAAAGCAGTAAAAATGCAATTAGAGTACAAGAAATTGAATAAATCTGATAACATATTTTGGGTCTCTCATGAGGTCTGGTATGGACCTTCTAATGCTGAACGAACTTTTTGGCTGTCATATCAAGCCTCATCATTATCGCCTGCTTTTCTGTTCGGCCGAGTCCCTACATATGGAGGACTCGATGCCCAATACGCAACACTGAGGTTGAGTGAAAGATCACCAAACATCAGCGATTCACAGTCGATTACTCGTAGTTGCTGAAAAGTATATGGCAATACATTACCAATTCACTGTTTCAGATACCTTGCCTGAAACGGTGTAATCTGGCGACTTATCTAATCTAGAGATAGCGCACCAGACTTCATGAAAAGTTTGAAGTATGTCTGCACATTATACAAAGAGCGTAAAAGGTTTTGATAATTTTTCTGATGTTTTGAGAGTTGAATAAATATTGCGCAAACAAATGAAGTCATTAAATATTAAGAAAAATTATTACGTTTATTAGATCAACAATTATAACAGTAAACAAAAAAAGTTCATAACAAATTCTCAAAAATGCATGCCTCCTTTGGCCTCTATATATAATCGAGGTCGCTTGCAAAAATATTCAACCATGCTCGCACACGTTTCCACCCTTACTTCGTCCGAAACGCGTGTCGAAGGCGAGGCGGTCAAAAAGCGTCTGCGTTATTGTAACGACTTACGAGGCTTCTTCCTCCAATATGGATCATAAAGAGTAACGCACCGGGTTAAAATTTGGCGAATTTGATGGTTGAATGTTATTGCCACAGAAGCCTGAAAGTAACTCTTGACAGATGACTATCCTTAAGCAGTTCGAATGCACAGAAGTCTAACTCTATTGAAGTGTAAATACCGCCGCCAAAGTGTTGCGTGTTTCATGATCACAGTACGCTTCGTAAAACTTGCTGCTGATAGCTGTCAGCGCTGATTTTGGCGTTGCGTTGGTGAAGGACAACAACTTCTTTCTGGGGGCGCAAATGCCGCACCAAACCATCACAGAGATCATAAAGTGACTGCAGGCAATGGTTTTTGCTATTATGAACTTTTGCTGATCCTTCCTGAGAAGATGAAATCGATTTTGGCGATTGTGGAGTGGTGTACCCATGAATTTCTTCTGATCCGTAAAACCACCTCCAACAAACGAGCACCAGCTATCAAACGAATCATTCAGCAAATTTTTGAAAGCCATTTCTTTCAATCATCTCACCCGAAAGTGAATAAGAGAGATCTATAGCTGCACAGCTTCAGCTTATCTTTTACAATGTTTCGGACACTCCACTCGCTGATTCTGAGTTTCCCGAGCCATTTTGAGCATCGAACGCTAAGGATTAAGCTAAACTCGTCCATTGGATCTTTGAGAATTTCCGGAGTAGGCGAGGTGGCTGGACGATTTTTTCGAGGTCGGGCTTCAATTCTCGACTCTCTTTGAAATACCTATAAGGGATCTGTTGCACTTGCCAGTTTGAAACCAGTCGATTTTGGCAGTGTTCGTCCTTATCATTCCCATTTTGTGCAAGTCAACTATTGAGATAAGCTCATTTTTGCTATTCATATCTTAAGCTTAACTAGAAATATTGTTGAAATGTTTTTCAAACATAGATAGCTCTTTTTTGAAATGACTGGAAGATCTTCACTGATAATAGCATGATATAGTAGCGTTCAGTTTTATCATCTATAGTCGCTCATAAAAATAATTTTCACAAAGTATGAGGTCTGCACTAATTCACTCCCACCCTATTACCGCCACTCCCGATTCACGAATTCTGATTCCGTTTAGAGTGCAAGCCCTTTCATTAGCGGTGTGTGTGTTCACCGAGATGTCCGCTTTGACGAGGATACAAGTGTACTTTGGAATATGTTAGTAAAGCACTGAAAGGGCTTCAGCATTGCCTCGTCTCCTACTTGCTTTTTTAGGTTTCGTGAAGTTCACAGATTACCTCATTCTCTGTAAGAAGGCTAACAAGAATTACACAACAATGCATATCCTTTCTACGTTCTAACTAAGACATTACTTTATGTCCAACTGTTTTTTGAAACCTTGTTAGAAATTAATACATCCTGGCAGCATATTTTTAGTTTTTCACGAGGTCTTTTGTGGGCACTTGGCCTTTATGACTCTAGCCGGCACCACCGATACTTCCATTTTTCCCATCACGTGCAAGAGTAGCACATATACGATATTCGCCGCTTTCTTTCTCTTTTGGCTAGTTTGAGCAGCTACTAATAAGTGTCTGGTCCTCACGTATCGAACCCAGATACAACACTCGCTTCTCCCTCTCTTCCTCTGTCAGCCAGTTTGATCAACTCACATTTAGAGCGATTCAATATGTTCTCTTCTCTTGGATGTAATATGATGCCAGTGGTTTTGTTGCTTTATATCCCCATACGGTCGGCAGCATAATCGATATCCACAGTGGCGCGATTTTCATGCTTCAATAAAGATTTTTTTTTCTTCGCGATATACTTCAAGTTCTTTGAATCGATTTAATCATACTTGATTTTTTCAGAAACTCTGGATACTTGTTGTGCATATATAACTCCTATGTGCAAAGGAAGCACCGAATATAAAATATAATTTCGTTTTCGCTCCCACAGTGCCCTATAAAGATTCTTTCGAGAGCCAGTCTAATCTCCAAATTTACCGAGAACTATCATATAAGCTTAGTGTAGTCCAACAAAAAGTGATCAACAAACTTTAGATGAGCAAATAAGGCAAACTGGAGGCGCCGTAGTCAAGTGATTGTGATACTCGTCGCAGCGTGCATAGAGTCGAGCTCCACCCCATCCCTCTCAGGCAGTCAACAATAATGCCTCATAGAGCACCACAGTCCGGCTATCATTGAGATTCCAAGAAGATTCACTCAGTCAGTATTCTAAGACGTTCACGAAGAAGGTGGAAAAACGAATTGCATGCTAGGAGTACTGGGATCCGCAGAATGAAAAAAGCACTGTGAAGACCGATCAATAAAGTAGTCTAGAGAAAGAGAACCGGGTGTCAAACATTATCTCATTTTACTTCTACAGCGTACTACAAAGGCCTTTCCGAAAACAAAGAAAGGTGTTGAAATTCCCAAGATTCAAGCATCGAGAAAAAATTTTTTCAGTTCTCGATATAAAACTTTGCTCACTTTCTTTGGCCCGCATCATATTCTTTCTCAACTGTATGGGTTCCATTACTATAAGCATCCGACTCGTTTCTTTGCTTGCTTGAGAATTTTCTTCATAAACGTCATAAGGTAGTGGTCGAATCGAATCCTTGCAATGTTGAGGATAGCCGCGCTGGGGGCGTGCTAGGCGGAGATGGGAGTCAATCCTGCGTCGAGTCGTACCGAGTATCCTTTGGCACTCGTCTACGGCCTCCCTTTATCCTTTTGCGTATGATGAGGCTCAGTTTGACCCACAAATTTTTCGAGATCTTTTTCCACTCAGCAAAGGGCTTCATTTAGAATTTGATAATCGTTCAAAAGCTCCAATCTTAGGAATTCTCATATTTTGCTTGGTTTTTAAAGAAACTTTGCCGCAAGCGATAGCAGCAAAAATAATATTATGTTTCACGTCCGATTTGCCTGATTTTCAAAGGATTTTACTGATCCGTCTTCAAAGCGTTTGTTTTCATCGTGCGGATCTCACAGCTTCATCAAGCCGATTTTCAACTTCTTCTTGAATGTCTGAAACAATGGTTGAGTACGTTACCTTGCATTCTGCAGGACAGCCTAGCTGTGGCGCTCCATAGGGCGTTGCTGTTGACCGCCAAAGAGGGCTTTGGGTTGTGGTGCTCGGATCCACAAGCGGTGTGACAAGCATCACAACCGCTCAACCATGGCGCCCTCGGTTTGCCTTATTTGCCCGGCTGAAGTCTGTAGATTACTTTATATTGGATACACTAAGCTCATTCGATAGTTTGATTTTCGGCGAATTTGGAGCCCAAGCTGGTTCTAGAAAGGGTTTTTCTAGCGCACTGTGAGAACGAAAGTGAAGTCACATTTGACATTCTCAATTTTCTCTGCACATGGAAGTTATACATGCACAAAAAGTATACAGAGCTAAAGAGAAAATCATGTTTAATCTAGCTGATTCAAAAACTTAAAGTTGTTGAAAAACGAAAATCGCGCCACGGTGAATGTCCATTATGCTACCGACCGTAAAGGGATATAAAGCAACAAACCACTGATATCGTACTATAACCAGAGGAGAGAACATATTAAACCAGCTTGTGAGTTGATCAAACCGGCCGTTAGACAGACAAGAGAGAGTAGTGAATATCGTTTGTGGATTCGATACGTGAGCCCAAACACTATTTGATAGCTGCTCAAACTGGCCAAAAGAAAAAGAGGGAAAGTAGCAAATTTCGTATCTGTGCTACTCTTGCACGTGATATGGAAAAATGAAAGTACTGATTGCCCGCCCGAGTCACTCGACTATTAAAGGGACGACAGCTGACAGACAGGTGATCATCATGAGATAAAGACAGTCATGAAGAAGACAAAGTTTACAAGTTGTGGGTGAATCCATGCTAAAATCTTAGGGAGTTCGCAAACGGCACATACTGATTACTTCACCGCTACTTTTTTTTCACTTGGTATAACGGCTGTGTTTTGAAGTCGGTGGCGAATCAGAAAGTATGTTATTGTTTAGTGTTCCAAAAAACTCGTAGTATCAATACAGCACACAGCCTCAATAAACTTTATGACCACTATTTTGTTCTACAATGTGACAATATTTAATTCGAGATGCTTGGTTCGTACACCGTTTTCAATACTTAGTGACCAGCGCGTAGAGCAAACAAAAGACGAGTATAATCACGCTGATGGAAAAAATTCCTACAGTTGGAAAATGTTCCGAAAGCCGCTTACACTAATCATTCCAATAATTACTCGTTGCAATAGTTGATTAGTGTAATCAACCATGATGGTCTACA